ATCGCGCCGCTCAAGCACAACTCAAGGGCCTGACATGCTCATCACTGAGAAGTTCCGTGCAACGCCATGCAGCAGGTTAGAGAACAGAGTTCACCGCCCTCCCGCTCCGGTCTTAAGTCTCCTGCTTACTAAGGAATCATCTTCACTTTTTGCAGTCCCCCGACGCAGGGGTTATGTATCTTCCAAGCTGTACGAGATCTGAGGGAGCAATACCATGGAGCGTTTCTCCCACCGCACGACCCTGTCCCATTTCCTGGCCTCCCGAGTTTGATCCTGTACATGGATGGAGACAGGGGCAGTGGTTGTGCACTGCGTATCACGTGGATACCACCATACCATACACAAAGGGACAGGTAATTGCATAGTCAACATATCCTGACAAACGAAGGTTTGAAAATAACATTTCTACGACTGTTTAAATGAGAAATAATGTAAGGAGATCATTTATTTGAGGTGGGAGAAAAAAGAAGGTCAGGAGTTATCACCAAGTGCTTTCTGAATTCATGAGACTTGGACATATTTAGTTAGTATCAGGGAAGCAATCCAGCTATCTCACCACAACCAAGCAAATCACACATAAAGCTGAAAGCCGAGTATTGTCAAACGCAGAGATAAGTGTAAGAAGAGGAAGAAACACAGCTGGATTCACTTGGGGGGAAAAAGAAGACAAGAGGTGAAATAAATCATTTTATGAACAGCCTTTAAATGGATATATACAACTGATAAATCCTTATGATGAACCTCAGTGCCACTGTCACACTTCAGACCTTTTAGATCTTTGTATACCTGTTCTCTCAATACATGTTCCATGAAAGCTTTAACTAGCCAGTAGTAAAGTGTGACTGGAAAATAAAAGATAATCTCAGGAATGTTTTTAAGCTAGCATCTTTATATACTTTTTACTAAAATACAAAGTTATTTTTCCAAGATGAATTACAGACGCAGTTCCCCAAAATTTTGTAAACCTTTTTTTAAATCCATGCTTTGTAAGAGCTACTCCAGCCCTTCACCCTTCTTAACATCTAACTGGCACTTAAGTATCAAAGACAGATTTGCATTTCAAAAGCCAATTAAAAAAACAACAAACCCCAAACACATCACACTGTAATAAGGCACTGATTAAAAAGTGTAGTGGCTTTACATAAATTAGGCAGTTCCTTTGACTTTCCCTCATTCAAATCCATCATAATAATGGCAAAAACCTATAAATGATACAGACTATAGGACCACTATACCATCTCTCTCCATTACCCTGATGCTTGTGGGGTCACATTCTAGTTTCAAAGAAAGCAAGCGAAACCACTTTTAAAAATACATGAATTATTTCACAAATCCAGTCTAGAGCATGATGACACAGTTAAGATTACACAGCAAGAGGAAGCAAAGAAGGAAAGGAACTCTGGAAACTACAATCTCAACCTTCATTTGCTGGAAGGAATCAAAATGTGGAAGCACACACACTTGATGGGAAATAGAGACACGTATCCTGAAACTACCAATCATTAAAGAAAACATGAGAGAAAAGTAACAAACTTCTTGCTGTTTGCAATTTCTAAAAATCAAATATTTTCTACTAGAAGTCTGGTAGAACAGTAGACAACTTACTGTCATCGTGCAGTAGCACACGATTTCAAGTTACAGGCTAATCGTGCTGATTTAAGGTATTCTTCGTAACGCAATATTTTATCAGAACTTCTGATTTGTTTGTTAAAATCACATGAGAGATTAAAGAAGGAAAAGATCAATTTCTATAGGAGTCTGAGTTGCCACAGAAACTTTGATTCTCACACCTCAAAAAACTTGCAGAGTGAAGGCTTCTCATCTATTATCACGTATGGAAAAGGTTCTTGAAAAGCGCCTTCTCCAACGCACTGCGGACGTGCCAATCCACGGCACCATCGACTGTCTCCTGCCGTAACAGCACTGTGGCCAAAACACAAACTGAGGCAAGAAACCAAGAAAGTGGGTCTCTACCACGACACCTTCAGTCACTGAAGAGTCTGTGCTCAGTTTTTGAGTGTGTTTTGGTTTGTTTTTTTCATCGCGACACTTTGCGTTACCGATATCTGTCATCCTACGGCAATAAAAAGAGCTTCAGTTTCTGAGGCTCAAAAATTTTAGATCTGTCAAACTGATTTATATGAAAGTCCTTTAAATAATTTGAAAAAAAACCATCAAAATGTATCGGCCTGACCTTTACGCAAGGCTCACTACAGGGAGATTGCTCAGCATTCCCTACCAGCTGTCAGGGAAAACAGTGCAGCTGGAAGACTGAAAACTCCCAACCTGGATTCATCCACAGATGCCACGTAACACAGCATGGTTTTACTGCATTTTCTTTGCCCTGGCCTACATTACACTCCCCAGGATTTGTCATTTCCAGGTAATGAAGTAATTTAACGAATAAACAGCAGTTAAAACATGCAAGCTGAACTTCATAATATTCTCTTTTAAAGAAATGAGGGGCATTGCAGTAGAGCATTCGCACACAGCACAGGAATCCAACACCGCTGCTCCATTAAGAAGGGAATTAGCTGCCTCCCACTGTCACCCCGAGGCCGAGCAGAGACCTTACTGTGCTAACTATGCCCACACTTAGACAGCCTGAAAGCTTCCAATTAAAAGAAAGAAGAGGGGAAAAGTATTAAAAACCACTGATAAAACTGAGAGATTCAAAGGTGGTCAAGAAAAGCAATATAGTTAAGCCCAAATTTAAATATTCTTTTTTGGCAACCAAAGCTACGCTTCCCACCAACTAAAGGATTAAACTCTGTGTAGCCTTGCACAGCTCCTGGTGTTTAGCCGAGTTAGTAAATAGTTTTCCACACTCCTACGTTTGCTAAATCTTCTGGAGCAGCAGAACGACGTGTGGGCACTGCAGCCAGAGGATGCTCTTGGGCTGGTTTCGAACTTCACAGAATGGCATACAGCAACGCAGGACAAGAGTCAAGAACATTTCCTCTGGTTGCGAACAAAAAAAAATAACAATTTTTGTTGCATGGAATTGATCAATAATCTAACAAAGCTGTTAGGCTTTGTTGAGAGACAAAGGGGCGACTATTTGTGCGGTCAGCATTCGTATTGGATTAGACTGTATTTGTTCAGTTTTCTAGCACAGATCTTGGGAAAATAAAACTCACCAGAATTGTGTTGGTTGGTTTATTTATTTTTAAATACTAAAAGGGTCTTTAAGATTCCACGTTTTAAAAGCTATCAATTAAAATAGTATCCTCTACATCGATAGAGGAAAGCTGAACTGGAAATTTTGAAGACATTTTGGATTACCTTCATTTTTAACCCCATTAACCTTCCCTAATGACCATATAGACCAGAATGATAACAGAAGCAAGACGCTGAAGGATCTCATGTGGAAAGCAGCGGAATTAATCACGACAGCAGCAATGGAAGAAGGTGGTAATTGCCTGAGATAAGAGTGTGAGAACTGCTTTTATTGTCCTCATTGCCAACAAACTTCCAATGAGAAATACATTTCTGAGACTCCGAAAGTCATTCCTTTAAGGTATAAAACCCCCATTTTTTTATTTCTGACATTTCTGATGTTTCACAACAATGCTACAAGCGAACTTAATCGAAACAACATCAGAATATAAATGACAGTAAGCAGCAGCTCTGGGAGATGCTGTAGCACTCGTCGGAAAGAATTCATTACCTCGAGACGTTTATTAAGTAAAGAAAAAAAACTGTTTGAAAAAGGCTGGCAAACATCATTAGAGGAACAAAAGAAAATTGCTTCACAGGCTTCTCTCCTAGTTACACTGCCTTAGTTTACCTCTTTTTTGTTGGCTGTTGAAGTCTCGGTCTCACTCCTACGAAGCAATTATAAGTCTCTTCCAGCTACCCGGTTTACAACACGCTTACACAGTCTGACACTCTCGATGCCAGATACAAGCAGCCAACATTCTGAAAACAGATCACTTTCCCCAATCACGTTCTTTATTTTTATGTGCAAACTTCACTTACCTACTGCCTTCTACCCCCTAAATAAAAGCAACCATGAAGTCACGTCTAAAGATTACTCAAAACACCAAAGGTGAGTTATGACTTGAGTTTCTTAATGTCTGTTAGGAAACTTTTAAGCATTTGGTTGGTTGTTACTTTTCAGACTTCCCTGTCCACATCTGATACTCAGGAAACACAAAAATACAAAACCCCAGCACTTCTGCTTTCTCCACGAGCCTTCCAGTTCTTTAGGGATTGTACACATCACCAGCTTTCAGGAGCTTCGCGCACGTGTCATGGGCAGATAAATCTCAGCATATAAGCAGAAAAAGAAAGTTAATTTAAGGGTATTTCTACATAAAGACGGTAGAACCCTGCTCTTTTTTGCCCAAGCTGTGGCAAATCATTGTGATTACATGCATCTGACTTGTTTCTTTAATCATAGAATCATAGAATGGTTAGGGCTGGAAGGGACCTTCAAAGGTCATCTAGTCCAACCCCCCTGCAAGGAACAGGGATATCTCCAACTAGATCAGGTTGCTCAGGGCCTCGTCCAACCTGGCCTTGAACGTCTCCAGGGATGGAGCATCCACCACTTCTCTGGGCAACCTGTTCCAGTGTTCTACAACTCTCATGGTAAAAAATTTTTTCCTAATATCCAACCTGAATCTACCTCCCTCTATTTTAAAACCATTACCCCTTGTCCTATCACAACAGGCCCTCCTGAACAGCCTCTCCCCATCCATTTCAGTTTTCCTGATCTTCAATGTTTTCTGAGAAACACCCACATATTACACCACTTAGATGAACAGAATATATGAAAACTTCCAGCTAGAGAAATCCACAGCCCCAGTTTCACTGATGAAACGTCTTTTCAATATATGAAAACTTCCAGCTAGAGAAATCCGCAAGAGATACAGCCCCAGTTTCACTGATGAAACGTGTCTTTTCCTTTTTCTCTCCTCTTTTTGCAAGGGCAGGGTATACGCCTACGTTATCGTGCTGTCATTTGTACTCAACAACAACAAAAAGAGACTCACCTGCTACCGTGAGCTTTGCCGTTCTGCTGACAATGGTCCCCAGGCTTTCCACAGTCGCCACGCATTGATAATATCCTTCATCAGGTTTATTATGCTTGGAATGCACCACACTGTTTATTAATAAAGATCCATCCGGTAGCAACTGGCGACGGTCATCTGACACCAAGTTGAGAAAAGTCCCGTCTTTTTTCCACTCGATTTTTGGGGAAGTTTCACAATAAGCTGAACAGTTCATTATAACGGACGCTCCGCGAACTGACAGAACGTCCATCGGCTCCACCAGAAAGTAAAAAGGAGTGAAGGTTCTCACAAGGGACCCTGTAAAACACAATTACGTCACAGAATTTTGGGGTTAGCCTTCTACATTTTTTAAGCATGAAATGCATCGTTGTTTCAAAACGTTCTAACGCACACGAGCTATCCCACTCGCAACACTGTCTCCCTGAACATATTAGAAACAGCTTGGTCTGTAGGACAGCGTTTTCTGCTTTGACTACGTTCGCAGGTGGACTCTTCACTGCAAAGAAGTTCTCATCCCCATAACAAATTCATCTGCTCATATTGGAATCGATGTGGCTAACAGTCCCGAGCAATCCCCGGCAGACAGAAATATGCCTCGTCAAAATTTCTGCAAACTGATGTATGTGCTCGAGTACCACACGGGTACGTGCTCTTAGGAGTCCTCTGGCCTTTGCTGGCACGGCTGCCATACCACAGCAGCACGCTCATTTCTTTTGTGTAACGGAGATTAAGAAACATCAAAAATAATTCAGCCCTCGAGAGAAACAGAGTCGCCAATTCCGGCCTTAACTCATCACGCAAGTGCCATAAAACATTTTTTAACTTCTAGTTCAGGATGAACATGATTACTTTCCCATTTTAAGCCTTCCCAAAAGACTTCTATAATTAACATCTACTTTCCATTAAAAAGTGAATTCTAATTACTGTATTTCTGGTGTATTTGGTCAAGCAGAAAGATCGTGTGTCAACATCACCTTAACTTGTCTTAACTTAATCCTCCATAGAAAACAGAAGGAAAGAAAATTCTTTCCGGGAAGAACACTTTTTCCAAATCAGCGTAATGCTGGGTTGAGAGAAAATAAGGTCTTTGCTTTTAAAGCCAGCCTTTGAAATACCATCAAGGCTCCCCACCTATACTCCAACAAACTCCACCTTTCCTCCACTTGGGGACTAGGCATGGGACATGTTTACAAAACATCATCGGAATATAAACTGAAATACTACTAGCTGTCTACCAGCAAATCAAAGTGCACAGACTAACAGGTTAATATGGCTTTTGAAGCAAGTCACTTCAACCCAAAGCTGCAACGATTCCTCCTATCTTTATACGAAGCAAGCAAGCCACTAAAGGGAACACCAAACCCAAAAATGCCAGCTGAAAACAAACACACAGCCGAACTTACAAGGTCTTTCTGCAAGGGCTATAAAGAACTATTTCCCATTTTTATGTCTAACATGTATTTTACAAGCTCTGTGTCTACAAATGTACTCTCAGCACGCAGCGGCAGACTCAGACCACCCTTGTCTGGAAATTTTAGAAATAACTTTTTGAAGTCGCATGCTCAAAGCATACAGTACAGATGTTCCTTATCAGCTATGGCAAAAGAGGTTCTTGCATCTGGAACATTGTGTCCAGTTCTGGGCCCCTCAGTTCAAGAAGGACAAGGAACTGCTGGAGAGAGTCCAGCGCAGGGCCACAGAGATGACGAAGGGAGTGGAGCATCTCCCTTCTGAGGAAAGGCTGAGGGAGCTGGGTCTCTTTAGCTTGGAGAAGAGGAGACTGAGGGGGGACCTCATTAATGTTTATAAATATGTAAAGGGCGACTGCCATGAGGATGGAGCCAGGCTGTTCTCAGTGGCATCCAATGATAGGATGAGGGGAAATGGATATAAGCTGGAACATAGGAGGTTCTGCTTAAACATGAGGAAGAACTTCTTCCCGGTAAGGGGAACAGAACACTGGAACAGGCTGCCCAGAGAGGTTGTGGAGTCTCCTTCTCTGGAGATGTTCCAAACCCACCTGGACGCGTTCTTGTGTGATCTGATCTAGGTGGTCCTGCTCTGGCAGGGGGATTGGACTAGATGATCCTTTGAGGTCCCTTCCAATCCCTGACATTCTGGGATTCTGTGAATTTCCCTTTACAGAACAGTATTCAACCACTGAGGAAACAAAACCAACAGCTTCAACTAAAAAAATCTTACAGTTTCTCTAACAGCTTTTTTAATGGGCATCTACTGGCAGTTTAGAGAACAGAGAGATGTCACCGGTACGTGTCATGGTACCACTTTTTGGGTAGGTTTTGGGTTTTTTTTCCCAAAAAAATCACAAATTGCACAAAACAGCGCAAGTGGTTTCCATCACTAAGCTGTTAGCACATGCTCCAAGAAAACATGGGAAAGAATAGTCGGTGTTTGAAGCCTGTCAATAGTTCTTAACAGGATAAAGAGTCTCGAACCTGGAGTGGTGGGTGTTGCCCACCAGTTACACAGTCGTCAAGATGTACGTTCAGATAACACAATCAAGCAGTGAAGACAGACTCATTCTCCACCGGCAGAAGCTACATTCTCTGTCTCAGACGTCGGTGTAGCAAGTCTACCCAGGAACCAGTTCACCTGATCCAACACTAAGCAATACGTGGTTTTCCCTTTAGGAACTTCTCCCAAGAACGTGAAGGTAATCCATAACGTTTGGGAAAGGCATTGCTGGAAAAGGGTTCAAATGCATTCACAAGCACAAAATGAAGCTTCTACTGCACTCACTAAACTCTCTAAGGGTCACAGAAATACTCACCTCAAAACTACTTAATCTTTCACAGTACGGTTGATAAGGAAATGCTCAAGTATGCTAAGACCACCTTGAAGAGAAATATGCATTTAATAACCAGATTTGTTTCATTAAGTCACAGAATAATTACACAGCCTGTATTTTTAGAAAAAGTACAAACATGAAGGAGACCTTTACTGGTAAAGAAAGTCTGTCCTACAAGGATTTTAGCTTCTTCCATCACTTGTTTTTTCTGAATCGGATGTACCATCTAAAATAACCTTAATTAACAAATTGATATGACTCCCTCTATCACTGAATTGCACAGAAAGTCTCTCGACTCCAAAGGGGCACTTCAGCTTCCCCCTGGAGAGGGACTCCAGCCTCCCTGCACAAAGCCTATTGTCTTTGCTACTCACAATCCACAGAAACGTGAAGATAAGGCAGAAGGAGCGGTGTGAAAGAAACAACAGATAAATTATGCTTTTGTAGGTTATATCATTCAAATATTCTTCTACTTTCAAGAATTCAAGATGAAATAAGAAAAATTGTAGAAGACAAGTTTCCCCAGTGACAGTAACAGTCTCAGTCAAGACTGGAGACCTGTTACGCTGTATCCAAATCCTTATGTCTTCCGTGAGGATGGAAAACAAAAAACACACAAAAAAACCCCATGAAACAACAACAACAACAAAAAAAAAACCAGAAGAAATGACAAAATTTTTAGGTGCTGCTTGTGTTACTTTGGTTTGTACCATCACACCTTATGTGCAGACATACCTGATGCTCTGCAGAGTACCGAGTCCCAGCTCTAATATACCAAATGGTGGAAAGGAAACAGGAGTCATGAGCAGCATGAAAATGTTTTAACCTGTTTATCTGCTCTTCCATCATTCCAGAAAACTAAACATGTTTTGTTGTGGTTTTTTTTTTTTAAAAAATAAAGATTCATTGTTATTGTCCCTGGCTTTTCCAAGAGAAAACATTCTACTCAAGTTACCAAGGCTTTTCCTCTCATTTACAAGCTTCTGTAAGTTTTTCCAGTAAAGACTCAGAGCCCAACCAGAACAACTCAGAGCCCTACAACTCTCGAGCGTTGTTTTTCTCTGCCCTTCTTCTCTGGCTTTTCAAGTAAAACCTAGGAAACCCTTGAAAAGAAGGGGCTGGCTTCTTGTTCACCTTGTCTGGCTCTGGTCTAGATTGGAGCACATCAAATCCATTCACGGGACAAGACTGTTCTTATCCTGGAAGCAACAAGATGTCCAAGGAAATAACATCGCAGAGCATCGAGCAGAGGATGTCAAGAGAGAGCACGCCAAGAAGATACAGCAGCACAGAAAGGATTAGAGACTTTCAAGAAAAATGGCAAACATTCTCTGCCAGGTTCCAGAGGTGACATAACAAAGCTCTGGCCAAGGGCCCTGTGAAGACATCACACAGTCTGATCCAACTCAGGATACTTCCAGGCTCCTGCATGGAAAACAGTGGATAAGAAAAATAAAAGGGTTGGTAAAGAACTATGTGCCATCTTGCAGGAAGTTACACAAGAATTGAGCCCCTTCTGCCTGCATTCTCAGACAGGGTTTGCAGTTTGGAGTGGGGGCCACTCTGGAGAAGCGCTGGTGGGCTGCATCCACGCTCCAGCCAATTCATTTAAGCCTCGATTCACCATAAAAATGCTCTGTACGTACCAGACCTTAACAAACTTCTCTATTTCTGTCAACAAGGCGTTTCTCCCACTCCATCAACCTCAGGTAAACGACATCGCATTATTAAAGACTGAACGGGTGTATTTTATGGAGGGAGCCTCTCCCTCCACGTCCTTATCTTGGGAGGGGGGTACATACATAGAGGTACGTACACACCGGTGGCTTGATTTGTGTTCATCTTGGCTCAAGAAGCTTTACCAGAAGCAAGACAAGTCCATCTTACAGCTCAGCCACAGGAACAGTTAAATCGTGCTCACTCCCGACAGAGACAAGGTCAGCATTAGGTGCAGGTACGGTGTTTCACATGTTCTGGAGGCTCTACACCACCCTCCTCCACCCCCTTCCAGCACAGGAGCAGGAGGTTTTAGCACAGAAGCACAACACTGCCAACTACATCGATCTGTAATCCCCTCACTACCGTAATCCCCGGATCCTTTTCTCGGAAGCTGCCGCAAGGCCTGTTCTTTCCATTTAATGTTTGACTAGCTGGTTACTCCTGCCTAACTGTATTAACTTTCACTTGGCTCCTCCCAAGTCTTCCTCCTTCCAAAAAAAGTTTACCAATTTTGAACTCTAACCTTGTTCTCCCTCTTCCAGCTTTAAGTCGTGTGAGAATTTAACAAACACAGTTTCCTCCGTCATCCAGGCTGTGAGTCAAAGATATCTAGTAGAAGTTTCCTCAGAACACACAAGTGCAAAATCCCACCAATGCAGCCTTCGATATCATTGTCCTTACTTCTCTGAACACTTATCCATCCCTTTCCGTAGCCACTCTACGCCAGTCCAGACCACGAGATGGTAGTGGTTGAGCAAAGAATAAGGGA